GTTTATGGTTTTGTTTATGCAGAAACCAGTAAAGTAGGGGATAGCGATTCAGATTTCGTAGATCTAGATCGCATCCCAGAACAAAAGTTAAGTTTTCTAAACTGTGAAAAGAGAAGACAATGATATGAGAAACAAAAGAATTATCTACTTATGCTAGAAGACAATACAAGATAGAACCCTTTCCTCTTGGATCTTTTCCTCAGAAGTCTATCCCATTTTGCTTTATTCTAAAAAATGTGAGCCTGATCAGTATGGCAAAGAGATGTTTGTTCCATGGCAGGTCTGAGGGAAACAACTGAAGTCAAATTTACCATCGGGTTGGCACAGTCCTATCTATGCATGACGTCTGAAGTTTCGATGATGCTGATGGGACATACATTTGTCTAGAATCAGGGTGGCCTTGGAACACTATGAGAGATTTATATTTGCTCATGAACATTGCTTTAGACTTCATATGAAGATTTCCTACAGAAATAGATGATGCAATTTGAGATCCAAGAAGCCACTCTTGAAACTCTTATCCTGCTGGGTTTAAAAGAGTAATTACAAGAATGCTCAAGAAACCTGATGCTGGAAATATACGGCTGTGAAACAGTAGAGTACAGCATCAAAAAAGCAAACTTTATAAATACAAAACGATGTGTTAAAGGAGAGTGATGCTTTATTGTTTAAACATTTGACATAAAAATGGAAAAAGAAATTGAAGAATAGACAAAAGCTTAAGTTAATCTGATTAAATTTTTCTCTAATCAAAGAACACATATTTAGAGTGAGAGTTCTGAGGATAAAATTGAGAAAATCCTGAGGGTGAACTATTGGTAGACATGAGGTGCAAGTTGCATTTTGTAACTGTGCAGTTAGAAATGTGAGTATTACAATGTAGAAAAGGAAATATGAGGGGCTGAAAATGTGGTGTACCTACAAGGACAAATACTGCAAAAGACCAGCTAATCATGTTATAGGAACCAGAGAGATCAAGGGTACATCTTGTAATGAAACTATTCTGGAGCTATGGAAATGACTGCCAGCTGTTCCTGACTGAAAACTACTTGAGGCACAATGACCCAGAAAGTCCATATGGTACCAAAGGCAAAAGCTTAATTAGATATATCACTTCTAACTGCATAAGTCCACACTCCCAGAAGGAAGGAGATTAATTGTAGTGCATATATCAGGAGGGTGACTTTCAAAAATGGTGACAGCTCTGGGGAGAGTAGCTCATGCTACTATTTAACAGTGGCTATCTTTGGTTGGGAGAATTTAAGGTGATGGTTATTTGAGTCTCTTTTGACAATTGGTACAAATAACTTCAATAATGAAAAATATTTTGAAAGCATATACAATTACAGTTGCAAGGGATGAGAGTAACCTGGTTCCTTCTATAATAAGCTCCTCTAAAGATCAGTTTATAATCACATCTCATAAAATAGTCAAAGGATAATAAGTTATTGCAAATAGTCAAAAGATATAGAGAATACTAACATTAATAAAAGCAAATGTATTTCACAGGACCTTAGCCTCTGAAGCCCTGTAGTTTCAGGTATAACCTAACTTTTTAAAATTACATATAGAAATGTTAAGCTTGCAAAAGACAAGAAACTTTCCCCAGGCTAAAGTCTCTGTTGTAGATAAAGAATTGTAACAGCAAAATTGCTGGCTCAAGGACAGATGCCCTTGGTTAACCTACTGATTGATATGTTAAGAAAGTTACTTGATTGTTATGTAAATATGCTAAGGAAATTGCAATAGGGAAAGAAAGTGTTTGCTAAGAACAAGCTTTTGTTGGTGGACCCACTTAACTTTTTACTAATTACGTTATGGAATGTCACTTTGTAATTTCACTGATGTTACCAGCTTCTATTGTTAAACTATACTTAGCTGTAACTCCACCTATGTTCCTTTTCTGTAACATTCTGGCCTGGAGAATAAATACTGAGAAAGAACCCCAGTTCAGTGTTAATTTTCCAAGGAGGAATGCCTGTGTCCTGAGGGTTCCTAGAAATTAACCCCTTCAGGGTTTCTCACTGCCCGGAAGAAATGGGCTTTGAGTAATCCTTTGCGTCTCCATCACCCTGGGGAAGAGGTGACAGATGATCATTGCCAAAAGTCACTGAAGTGATTTTTACCTGCTTAGTTATTTAAACCTGGAAACTGGCCTCTAAATGACTAAGCAATGTAAAAGCTACAACTGATTGTTAGCAAAGGACTTTTTCAATCTTATTTTGTTTAAAAGGGAAAGAGACCACACAAAATTATGTGTGTGTTATGCTCTTCCTCTTGTTATACACTTCTGTGATTATGAGTTCTTAACTCATAATGATTGGGTCTAAAATACCCAATTTTAGGTATTTTGATTATTGGGTCTAAAATACCAAAACTGGTGACAGCGAGGACTGTCATTGTGTGACTGTCATTGTCATGGGATATAATTGTGCTTTTTGGTATTTTTCCACCATCTTACTACTGCTGTAAGAAGCCCTCTAGGAAGACTAGGCATCCCCTACCATGTGTGTCCATGTTTGAAAGACTCGTTTTCCCTTGTAAATGTTGCTTGAACAGAAAGCCACAATGCATTTCTATCCCCCCATGAATTTTACATTCACTTCATAACAATAGAAGTAATCTGTTTATTAGTTTATGTCATCCATATGACAATTGAGGTGCAGTTGATCTCTAACTTTATTCTGAAGCCCCTATTCTATATATTTTCTAGCATTTAAGTCATGAAGGTGGTGTTAGCCCAGAGTCCAAAAGAGGGAGGGAAGGAAGGAGGAAAGAAGAAAGGAATTTTTTTTAAAAAAGCTTTCTTAACACCTTTCTTTCATTTGCATGAGATGTTACAAAATGATCTCCCATGGCAGTCAAATAATTAAATGCAGTTTGGAATGCAATGATAGAATTTCATGTTTACTTTAAGAAACCAGGAAATGTGCATTTCTTCATAAACTTTAAAAATGCAATTCCATTAGTACAGGAGATTAATAACTTCAGTATCTTTTCTTCTCAAGTCCCAGTCACCTTATCTACAAAAAGAGTTTGGACTCTATTATTCTGTGAATCTTAATTCAAGCTAGTAAATCAACCAAGCTTTGAAACTTCTTCATAAGTATTGCTATAACCATTCATGCTGTTATTTATTCCAGTGGCTTTATTTCAAATGTAGTTTCTCAGTTGGAAAAGCAGTTCAAAGTCGTTTTGAGCTCAGTTAAGCTCATTGCTTTATAGAGCTGTGATTACTCTCATGCCCTAATTAAATGGCCAAATCTCTTGCATTTAAGTCACAAGCAATAAACAGCAGTATTATATTATGATAGATGAGCACTATTTGATTTTTGCCATGTAATATTGTATTTGGTATTTATTATCTGAGAATTGTCTGATGGCATAGGATATATTCTGTAGCAGGGAATGGAAAGGGATTATTAAATGAAAAGATTACATGCTTTGTTTTTGAGAGGATGTTTCATCAGAAACCTGACAAACATACCATGTGCCCGTTAGTATAAAGCCAAAAAGACCTTTCCAGCTGTTTACACTTCGGATGTAAAATGGCAATTTGACATAGACTAACAGTGTGATGTGAGCATCTGCGTAAAAAGGCTACACATGGAGCATGCCCAGTGCGGGAGAACGTCCTCCCCCCTCCCTCTCCCTCCCCCTCCAGATCTCTAAAGATAAGGCTTGAACTTTGCACTTGCAAATGTCACTGCATACGTTTTTTGCACTATTTTTTTTTCTTTTTTTTTTTTCTAGGTTCTCTTACAACTAATTCCCTTCAACAATCCAAGGCAGGGAAGAGAGTGTTTAGGGCATTAAGATGCATTAAGTTTAGAACGAGTTGATGTCCGTCTTTGAATGCACCTGAAGTGTTCTTTATTTTTAAAGCAATATAAAGCATTCCAGTGTGTGTTTCCCCCGCCCTGGAATGGAAAAATAAGAATCTCCTTGTATGGGATTCCTCCGGGGCAGGGAGTGAAAGTCCCGGAGGTAGAAAGGGTCTGAGAAGAGGGGCTTGCCCGGAGTATGGATAGGAAAGGAGCTGAGGTCCCCCAGGGCTCAGCGCGCACTGAGAATCTGTGCCCGGGGCTGCAGCTGCGGACGAGGAAGGCGCTGTCTGGCTAATGAAGGCCACCTGGATCAGGCTTCTGAAAAGAGCCAAGGGAGGAAGGCTGAAGAATTCTGATATCTGTGTAAGCGCAAGGGCTTTCGTTTGGGGGAGACGTTGTTTTGTTTTGCTTTTCTGTTGTTGCAGTGAGTGCAGGCAGAGGGTGGTTTGATTTAGTTAATATGATCATGATTGCAGGAGAGGGAGCTGGGGAGATTCCTATCATTTTTTGAGCTCCTTTTTTCTACCTTGAAATTTATTGCCAGATGAGATATGCCAGGCAGGTGTTTTTTTAGACAGTTTTTATTAAATATCTATGTAAATGATTTTAAAATATGCTGCTGAGAGATGGAGTGCTAGTGTCTTGCAGTTTGTTGGAGAAGGTAGCAGGTGTATAAAAGGTATCAAAGGATTCTTAAGATTAAAATGGGAGTGATATGGTAGTGATATTTTAAAGAGTTCAAGTTTATAACTCCTTAGACTTTCTTTTATGTGTTTTGTTAGGCTTAATGTCTTCTAATTGTAAATACCTGCTTTGGCTTGTAGATTGTTCTTGAAGCTATCCTTGAAACCCAATCAGTGCCCTTCAGCTCTGCACTGCACCACCAAGCAGAGCTGGTTTAATTATAAAGGAACTTGTGCTGGATTCTAGAAAGGATTGTTTTTGGAATATGTACTTGGGAGGGAATGGTGACTCAGTAGACAGAATGATCCCAGTGAATGGTCTGCAAACCAGAGCATGATTTTCAGGATGTGTTGCGGCAAAATGGATTATTTTCTCCTCTTTTCAGGAATTTAGAGCACAATCCAGGAAGCTAACTGCCGTGTCAATGGGATTTTTCCAATGCAAAATCATAGATTGAATCTATTTTAAAATATACATTTCTCTCTCCAGGGTTCGGCAGACTCTTACACCAGCCGTCCATCCGATTCCGATGTCTCTCTGGAGGAGGACCGGGAGGCAGTGCGCAGAGAAGCTGAGCGACAGGCCCAGGCACAGTTGGAAAAAGCAAAGGTAAAACCACTTCTTCCCTGCCAAGAGCTTTCTGTGCAAGTTGTGCTGTGCCCGTAGTGGACCACCTGTGGAAGTTTCTCCTAAAGCTCATGTTTGGTCTATTAGAGTATTCCATTGTCTGCTTTAAAAGTGGTACAAGAAATAGAGTACGTTTCCCTCCGTTGGTAGAAAAAGGAAGTGTGATTTATGAGTGGTGTTTACTTTTATATTGTTTTGTAATACAAGCAGCTTGTTTGCGTGGGTGGATGGTTTATTTAGACACACACAAAAGGATCTCTGAATGTACAAAGAGGAAAAACTGCATCTAATATCAAAATGTTCTACTTTTTCTCAGTAAACCATATCTCTCTTTAAAAATCAAACTCTTCAAGCTAATGTTTACTTTCTCAGACTTGAGCGATCTTTCCCCTGAATTTTACTCCATAGGTGTTTTATAATAGCATCCTTTTATATTTGAAAAATGGATTATGTTATGCTTTTCAAAAATAAAGCAACAAAGGATTTTGTGACTTTGTTAATTATAAAAGTTCCTTCTCTTAGAACGCTTTCTTCTCCATCCCATCATGATAAAGTGTGTATACATAGAAGGGAGACTGGAAATCATATATGAACTAGGTAGGTACAGAATTAATCTCGGGCTGTGTTTCATTTTACTAATTGTAATGATTTGAATTCGTTTTCCCTATGCAGTCATTTGAATAGCAGCTGTTTCTAAAGCCTAGATTGTTGTCCAAGTTTAAGGTACCTTGGTTCGTGTGATACTTGGTGACTTCTGAATGAACATATTTTAACACAATTGGGTGTTTTTGGAAAAAAATTATTGCTTTGAAAAAGAAGTAATGTGTTGATCTTGCTAGAAAATCAGGGTAGCATTTTAACTTCTGCTGGCTGCTTCATTCCTGAGATGAGTAAAATCTATGTGTGTTGCTATGGGAATCATGGCTTGGAGATTTTGGGTTGAATTCATGGACAGCCCTTATGTAATATTCCTGACCTCTAGCACGGCTGCCAAAGCAGTTTAGTGAGGAACTACCAGGAGACCTTGACTTCTAAAAAGCAGTATTTCTGAATATCAAAACAATATTCTCACCTCAGCTGGCAGGGAAATCATCTATAGGTCTGACAGCCTTAACTGCAAGACAGCTCAGGAGCAGCAGGAGCAGCAGGGAGGATTTTGTGACAATGGAAACTGATTAAGGTGTGGGCCTATTGCCATCCACTAAACTTCTGTGCCATAGTTAATCTTCTGTACCATTTAAAACATTATGAAGTTGAAATTGAATAATGAAGAACATGAAGTAATGAAGGTGTAACTACTGATATTCATTGCCACAAGTTTGCACTGTAGTTAACACACATTGCAATTGAGAATCTGAGTTATGTGTTCTGTTTTGTATCCAGGTGTCAAGTCAAGAAAAAAAATAAGTTTGTACTCCAGAAATAAGATTGTTCTATTTGCAACTAATTTATTCTTGTAATTTTCACATACCAGAATTAAAAAGTTTGTTAGATTCATATCCCATTATCATGCAACCCAATTTTGTATTGTAGGTTTGGTTTTCAAAGTCTTTAGTTATCTCATTTGGACATTTTTGTCCAGGACTGTAACCCATGAACTATAAGTCTTGAATTAAGTGATATGGCTGCAGAGAACTTTTAAATATCTTTCAACCTATCATGGATCAAAATGTTGATCCTAAATCAACCCAGGTTCATGATACTTGTCATACAGCCTAAAGAGTTTATAGTTACAAATGATATCAAAAACAAAAGGAAAAGAAGATAATGTAAGACAAAGGCTAAATAATTGTAGGACTAGTTTCCATGTTTAATAAAAATAGTTTATTTACATCCACTTTTCCTTCTTTAAAATTAGTCAATATCTTAAGCGGTTTTTTTGTCTTTAAATGAATTACACTAGGCTAAGTGAGAATTTAAATATGATCTGAAAGAAGATAGGGCTAGGATTTAAATTTAATTGATATTAAAATCACAGTGGTTTATTAATTTCAATATCCTCGAAGAAAGAATGCAAAAGAGGGATCATAGATGGTTAGTTCTTCATTAGGTTATTTTTATCTGTTCCCCTTTGACAAAATATGCATGTGTCTTTGTGGGACCTATTTCAAAATGAAGCATTAAAGTTCAAAAATATGTAAATTAATCATTCAGCTTTTAATAGTTTTAAACACTTTGCACCACTTTTGCATCCATTTCGTAAGAATTGAATGTTTTCTACATTTATTTTGAAACCATCATAGCTTCCCTCAAAGAGACTTTATAAGTTAGTGCTTTTACTTACCCTACAGATGACGTGTATTAAGGGTGTACAAACGCCTGGAATAGACCTCAAAAGTGCTTTTGGATCCTGCTCCTAGATAAACATGAACTACATTACCCGTTAATTGCCTTAATAATACCTCTATGAAATAAGGTAATTGGCAGGTAGTGAAACTAGAGACACTGCCTTTTGAAATGAAGTGACCTACAAAAGGTTATACAACTAGGCTCTGTGTGCTGCCAATGAAACCCAGTACTCATCACTACAACTTTGTATGGCTTCTCTTAAACTAATAAGCTCTACAGTGAACAGATTATATTTTAATTTTGAGGTAAATAAATATCAACGGACATAACTTGTTTTTTAACTTGGTGTTTTCTGATCCCAAATGTGTGTTTTGATCCTGATCAGTTTTGGCATACATTGCAAATCCCACCTTGTTTAAGATGGTGCTCTTTGATATTGCTTTAAAGACAAGTAATGTATGAATTTTATTCCCACATTGATCTTTTCTTTACAAGCAACTTTACTGAGGTAAAGTTGTATACAACTCAATAATTATTAGTATAATCAGATTTATGCAATCACCACTGTAATCCATTTTAGAATATTTTCATTGCCCCAAAAAGAAATCCATAGCCCATTAGTAATTACCCCCCATTCTCCCCAACCCCCTCAGCCCTAGAAAACCACTATTCTGCTGTCTTTCATTATAGATTCATTTATTCTGGATATTGCATATGATTGGAATCATACACCAGGTGGTCTTTGCGACCAGCTACTTTCATTTACATACTGTTTTTAATGTTCATCCGTGCTATAGCATGTATCAGAATTCATTCTTTTTATTGACCAATAATATTTCATTGTACGTATATACCACATTTTATTTACCCATTTATCAATTGGTGGACATTTGGGCTGTTTTTACCTTTTAGGTATTGTGAATAATGCTATTAAGAACAGTTGTGTACAGGTTTTTGCATGGGTGTATATTTTTATCTCTTCTAGGTGTATACCTAGGGGGGGAAATTGTTGGGTCATATGATCACCTTTTTTTAATCAAAAGCATAATTTTCATCTTTTCCCCCTCCTCAAAAATGATGCCTTCTGCCGTATAGGAAGAGACTCTGAGTTGGAAAATCAGGATGTGGTAAGGATTGGAGCAGAAATAAAACAGGTTTTGTGCAATATTTTTAGAATAGATTAACATTAAACCTTGAGCCCATTGTTCTCACATCATTGAATGTCTACTATATTAAAGAAATTGTATTGGTACAGTTGGCGGGTAGGAGGGACTGCAAGGCTAGAGCCACAAGGAGGAAATGGGCAGGTCTTTTGACTGCAGAAATCTTCTACTGTTTGTTTAGGGGGAAAAGTCATGATAATAAATGGGAGAACACAGTACCTTGCAGGGAGGGTAGGAGGTCCATGAGCATCCAGAGGAAAAGAACGTACCCTGAGGGCAGGAACAAGCAGATCCTTCTCGGAGAAGGTGGTGGCTTCAAGCTGGACCTTACAGGATGGATGCATGACGTTTAGCTCCTGAAGTAGAAAGTAGCGGGTGGAGAAGAGGGATGCCCCTTAGGCCCTAGGGATACAGTGTATGTACAGGAAGGGTAAGTAAAGGCTGGGTAGCAAGAAAACATAGAACCTTCCAGAAAAATAATTTTTTGAGATCTTGCCAGCTGAAAAATATCTGTATTCTACCTTCACATTTCATTAATAGTTTGGCTGGGTATAGTATTCAAGAATGAAAAACCTGTTTCTTCAGATTTGGGAAGATATTGCTTTGTGATCTTTTAGCTTCCAGCACTACTGTGATAATTGCTGATGGTATTCTGTCCTTGAGTGTCATTTTTATTTTTTTAATTCTTTCTCGTATTTTGAGAATAGTTCTTCCTGTGGCATTTTGACATTTTGACATGATGTGCCTCAGTGTGGATCTTTTCGTTTACTGTGCTTGACTTCTTGTGTGTTCATTTTGAAGGGCTAGTCACTTCAGTTCTGGAACTTCTTTTTTTTGTTTGTTTTTAAATAATTTCTTCCCTATCCCTATATTTTCCTTTTTTTCTGGTTCTCTAGTTTGTCAGATATTTGAATAGAGAGTCCTTCTGTAATCACTTTTGTCTGCTATCTTTCTATCTTTTTTTTCTTCAGTTTTTCTCAACTTATCTCCTAATCCAGCTACTGGCATTTTTATTTTTGTCAAAATTTCTAATTTCCAAAAGCTTTCTTTTCTCTTTTTATAGCTTCCTTTTCTTGTTCCATGGCCGTAATATTTTCTCTTATATCTCTTAAGATACTACTTGTAAGTTTCTTGTACTGTCACTGTTTATCAAGCTTATTTTTTTATATATTTGATTTTATTCTTACATATTAGAGACTTTCTGCAAATTCATCCATTGACAATTAGGAGGAAGAAATTGTAAAGCTGACTGACAGCTCTAAATGTGATGGCACTCCTCTTGACTGGCAGTCTTTTATACGGTATTGGGGGAGGAACCAGGTAATTGGGATGGGGGAGGGAGTATTTTCTTTTAGTCAGGTCAGTGTTCCCAGAGATGATTCCCCCAATCTCCTGTCTGGACATGTTGGACTGGTCACAGGCCTCTGGCACCTCTCTAGGGAAAGGTGGTTGGAGTTTTATTATTTAAGATGCAGATTTTTAAATTATTTCATCCCCCTTACATTTAGCTGTACCTCTGATGGTCTCAAA